TAGCAACAGAACCAGGAAAAATGCCCTTTTCCACAGTGGGTTGGTCAGCATCTAAGAACTGTCACCCAGAATTGTCACTCTGAGGGGAAAATCTTTTCATTTGGTACATGAGTTCTCATGTTTCTTCCTAACTGGTGTCTTTAGTGCTAGGAAAGCTGTGGAAATTGTACACAATAGGACCATAGAGCTATTATTCTGGCTGTTCCTCTCTAGAATAGTTGGCAAATGAAAAAACCTAAAAATAAGCTGATGGAAAAATTATTTCTGCTAGAACATGACAGCAAAAATTACAAGTGCTTTCTTAGAAGGCTAGTTTTGTTGCAATTCTTCCAGAAATCATGGAGTTGTTCTAGAAAGCTGCCTGTGTCCCTCTGAGCTCTGAGAACTCACAATTGATGTTTGGAGATGTGGAATTCCCTCCTTTTCCCTGGCAATAATTGCAGCACCGCATGCAGAAAGGTGATGCCATCTCAGAAGTGCATGAAAGGGAAGCAGTGATGTTTGTTCCCTGCCTCTGGAGCACTGCAGATAAAGTGAAACTCATCTGTGTGGGTGGGATTTGGGATCTGGTTTGGTTTTTTTTGTTTATTTTCTTCAGTTGTGAGATAATGGAGGAAGATAAGAAGAACAAAACACGTAGTCAATGGCTCAGCACATATTTTTTTTATGATGCAGTTTCAAACCACTAGAAAACTCTTTAGTTATGCAAGTGCACTTTAAACCATAATATAATATCTACACCAGAATTTCATTTTTCTCAATTCACTGCTTTGTGAATTTATTTCTAATGTCACCCCTTCTTCTCAATTGAAGTTTCCACCTCAGCAACTAGAAGAGTGTCAACTACAACAGGACTGCTGTATTTCTAGCATGAATATTGAGGGAAAAGGGGATTTATTGCAGTCTTTTAAGCCCCAAGATGAAATGCAAATGTGAATTAAAATGTCTGTGGTAACTGCTCAATCAAAGGTTGGAGTGCAGTATTTCTGCTGCATTTAAACAGCAAAGAATCATCTGCAATTTGCCAGTGCAAATGCAAACAAGAACTTCAAAGGCCAGTGGTATCTTTTCTTTTTTGGTTTTTCTTCTCCCTGGCTAGAATGTATTATAGCAAGTTTGTGTATGCTTTGTAGTATTTTTTTCCTGTCATAACAATTTAGTTTTTGTTTCCTTTTTTAAGGGAGGGAAGAAATCCCAACTCTTGCTTTAATGGTCTTCACTATGGTGAACTTTAAAGTGGCTTTACATCAGGGGAGTGAGGCATTTTCTGTTTGCATCATCAGTTGCTAGCAATTGATCTCAGAAGTCAGCTTTCATTTTCTAAGCAAAATAGGCTGCAGTTGGATAAACCTGATTAAGGTGAGTAGATTTTATCTGATGTGCCTATTGCCACTCATTTCAGTGCAATGACTTTCTTTCCAACTGCAGATGACATGCAGAACACAGAACAAAAAGAATGTGTCAGTTTGTAACGCATTCTTCTCAAAGTTTAAGTGATCCTAATAGGCCATCAAACTACTAGAAAACAGCTTGGCATGTGGAATAAGCTCCTGATCAGGCTGCTGTAGTTTGTGTTGCCATCCTTACACAGAAGTCTGCCATGAGAGAAGCTGCTTGCTGGCCTGATGTTATTGTGAAAGCATCTTGCAAAAATTTATGTTCTGATTGTAAACTAAATACTAAAAAAAATTGAGTGGTCTTGACTTTGTTTCCTGACTTCTGAGTGTTTAGGTCCTAGCGGCTTCTCTGCTAAAAGTAGGAAACCTGGAGACATCTGAGATCCTGACACAAAAATTGCTCATTCTGGCATTGCTCTGTGTTACTTCCCAACAGAGAGAAATGTTCCTTTTCCTCTCATTTCTGAGGGACAAGAGACAGTGAAGTGGAAGAATAGGTGACATTACATTTGCAGAGGTGCAGATACAAAACTGACAGCCTTGGAGAAAACACATTTCATTCGAATGGCTATTTGCAGAGCAGGTCCTCTGCAAGATAACTTATGGCATGAGAAAGTCCTGTGCACAGAAAACAGTCTGTCAAAGTAAAATAAAGAGCCCTGAAGCTGTGAAGTCTGGCATAGCTGTGAAAATAACTTTCACTTGGGAGGGGAGGCTGGGAACCCTGCAGCTCCCGATTCTTTCCAAAGACAATGCCTGTACCACAGCAAGGAACACGGAGGGGACCGTACCTCCTGCAAATCTGCACCAAAACCCCAATTTAAAATGCTATCAAAGATTAAAGGCTGCACTCTCTTTCAACTGCATTAATTATCAAGGCAGCATGCAGAGCTCTGTAAATGGCTCCTGTCTGTTAGCACAGCACTGAGTTGAAAGGTTAGGGTGGTGGCAGACAGATGATGGTGATGACGACGACAACCTGTGATTTGCAGAGTTTTCTGCCATAGGGGAGAGGTGTCTTCTCATCCTGGAAGCAATGTTAGGAAAAATCTTCTAATACTTCTAATTCTGGAAGCAAGGTTCCTAACAGTCTGCCTTTTATGTAGCAGGGGCTGGGAGGGAGGAGAGGGCAGCTGAGCTGTAGGGGAAGCAGGAGCGCAATGCTGAGCTCCCTTGCCTGTTGCAGCCTGAAATTAAATGGTAATGCTGCCACGAGGTGAAGACAAGGCAACACACTCCCAGCCAAAAAAAAATACTCTTTTCCCTACCCCTGACAAGAAAACCCCAACCCTCTTTCTGCTCTGCATAAGCACTAGCCACTGTGGCAGGTTTTATGCAGCTGTGACAGTGTTCTGCTTTAATTTGATTAATTTTATTGGGAAGAAGTTCCATCCCTCCCACCAGCCAGAAACCAGCCAAACCCTGTTAGGGCCCTCTTTCCCTGTTTCTTTACTATGGTTACAAAGTGATTTATAAATTACTTTACAAAATAGGGTCACCACACATTTGAAGAACACCTGAGAGTGCAGGTGTGAAAGGAAAGCCCAGGGGTCTGGTGGACTGGCAATTATTCCAGGAGATGGGAAGCTAATCAAGGGACTGCACAGGGTGCCTCTGCCTGGGAGACACAGTGGCCTCAAGGAAGAGGCCACCTTCCTGACAGAAAGCAAGCAGAAAATATTGTACTCATTCTTGCAGGGCTTGAGTTTGAAAATGGAACACAGTGGTGGAGAAATTTCTTTCCCCCTCCCCACCCCAGGAGAGTCTGGCCAGGGAGGGGATCCCTCAACAGGCCCTGGGCAGCAGAGACCACCACAACAATGCCAGGAAATTCTCAGTCAAGTTTAATGCATCATAAAGAAGTAAAACTACATTGGCATATTTAAGACAAACACTTCTTTTTTTTTTTTTTTTCTATGCACACTATCCACTGGACAGCCCCCTTTTCAAAATAACTACTTTTAACAGTTGAAGACAGTTTTTCGGAAATTCTTCACATATTCAACCTTCTACAATTTTCCTTTATTTTTTATTTGTCTGAGAAGGAAAAAAAAAATTATGAAACCTGAAAACATCTACATTGCAAGCCACTCAGAATGCATAATTGCATACATTAACCAATGTATAACAACTGTGTTTTACTTAGTTCACTCTATTCATCAATAAAAGAATATAAAAATCTTGTTCAATCGAGAGTTGTGTATTAAAATAGATTTGTATAGTACTGCACAGTTTCTCCCGGAGTTGTGAAAATGGTTGAAGGGACCTTGTGCTTTCTGGGCAACAGAAAAAGCCAGTCCCTCGTGTGTTCATTTTTTAAAATGAAAAACAAAAAAGGCTATTCGGCACCACGTGATATGCTGATGTGAGGGACCAGCCTTGTGTCCTGCTCTGGTGGCTTTCCATAATTACCTGTTTGTGCTAATTGATGGAGAACTCACAGGGACAGAGACAGTGGCACAGGGGAGCGGGAGCTGAGAAAAGCAGGGTGTCCATCAGCACCTTCCCAGGCAGCACCTTGCAGAATATCAGGAAGACCAGCTCGTAAACAGGCAGGTGCACTGGGATTCTCTCAGACTAATGCTTAACGCTTCCCAAATATGCTAAAATCCAACAAAATGTTAAAAAGGAATCAAGTTTCCAAAAACAAAATCATCCCAAACCTTTTTAATTTTCCATGCCCTGTCCCTCCCACAGAAGTCTTGTCTCCGAGTCTCCAGTTTAAGAAACAACCCCTTGAGGCAGTTTTTTTTTTTTTCCCTGTACCATTTCAGCAGATATTTCTACAAAAAACCCCAACCAACCAACCCACCAACCAAAAAAACCCAAGGCAACAACAAAAAAAAAAAGCCCAAAAAACCCCAAACAAAAAAAAAAACAACAACAACAAAAAAATCATGTTGCATATCTTTAAAAATGCAGTACAAAAAGGTTATTTTTTTTGGCATATTATCTGTACTGACAAGAAACAAAACCCAGAATATTTATTTGCTTTTTTTGTTTAAAAAAAGAATCCAAAATGAACAAAAAGACAGAAAACCACAAAATAATCACTTTAAAAAATGAAACCCAAACTGTCAAAGGTATCCACTGTTATGGTTGATGCTAAACCTTGCACAAAAACTCCATGAGAAAAATACACTGATAGCAAAATAAGTAAAAAGGACCTGCAAAAGGAGTTTTACAGTCGTATTTTTTAAATATTTTGGAACGCATATACAGATGCATCAGCATGAAAATACTTCAATATTTTACTAGAAATGCTAACTTCATACAGTTTCTTTATTTAAATATCTGCAATTCTCAAGTCTAATAATACGGAAAAAAAAGATCTTTTGTTTCCAAGGCTCTGTGAGTGTCCGTGATGCTGTTCTGGTCACAAAGACCCCACATCCAGGTCACCTGAACCAATGGGGCCAAACTTGTTCCTCTGACATCCATGTCAAGTGCTAAGTAGCTCAGTTTCTGGTTATCTCACTGATTCCCCCCCATAGCTTTCAGCCCAACTACTTCTCTAATCCCTCACTAACTCCTCTCCCCTTGGAACAGAAAGCCTGTCTGCCAAAGGCTCTCCTGCTTCCTCTATCAGCCATGCTCCTCTGGTTCACCCTCAGTCATAAATCCATTAAGGCCAACATAACAAAACAAAATGTCATAAGCACTGAAGGTTCTTGGCAAATACAAAAGTGCAGCACAACCCGCCCCGTGGGAATGTGCTGCCACAGTGACCTACAAACTGGGCTGCCTGGCCTGCAAGTCTCTAAGTGTATCAAAACTGAGATTGCTCCTTCTGTCCTGTGTTCCAGTTCCATCTCTCCTCTGCTCTTGTGCATAAAGTTCCTTGTGTCGCCGCTCCTCGCGCAGCCGCCTCCTGTCAGTTGTTGCCCTGTGATGGCTGCAGAGCTTTGTGCATGGCAGCAGAGGCAGCAGAGGGTTTGATCCAGGGGATGGAGAGCAGGGAGGTGGTGGTGGTGGTAGTCATGGTAACCTGAATCATCTGCTCGTTTTGTATCAGTCTAATGAGGGTTTTGAGACGTTCCAGTGATGACTGAGTCCCTTTCTGCTGGGCTATCAGGCTGGTTTTTAGCTCTAAGCATTTCTGTCAAATAAAGAGAAGAGGAGAGAGAAGGAAAGACTGAGAATACATTCAAAGTGGTGTCAAACATCTCTTCAAACATCCTTTGGTGCCTTGGGTGCACATTCTGCTCAAATGAAGTATGTTCTCCTTTGGGGAAAGCAAAACCACAGCTTAACAAATGGAGCAATCAGCAGTGCTGCACACCACTGCAGCAGCTGTCTGAGGGAGCAATATCCTTCCCAGGCCAAATGCATTTGGAGGATGTTTCTGACTCCATCCTGTAGACAGCCTGGCAGGAGCACCTTCTGCACTCCACATGAGTGCAAGAGCTGTGTTACTGAAAAACAGAAGGCGCCACTCAGGTCTCTCACTCTTACCAAAGGACCCTGATAAATGCTCACCAGGATGCATTTCATATGTGCCACACATTCCAGGGAATAGGCACTGTGAAGACACATTAATCTCACTGAACATGATATCAATATTTTCCCAGCAGAAAACTTTGCTCTAAGACACAACTGTTACACCAGAGCAGTCACAAGAAAGCTTTCATCCCCCAGGGTGGCCAAATTTCTCCCCGTGATCTCTTGAAATAAAAACCTCCATGCAAATGGGCACGAGAGCAGGAGCTAAACAAAGGCATCCCAAATCCTCCATTTCTCCAAGAAGAAGAGGCAGGAAGAATCAGTAATTCTCCTTTCTCACCCCAACCATGGACTGCTGCATCCAGCACCCCATTCTTCAGTGAGGGACAGACCCACACCCTGAGTCTGTCTCCAAGATGGAAGGGGACAGTGGTCTCTAGACCTGAGACCTGTTTTCTTTCTCCCAGTGACCCAGGGTTCTGACCAGACTGATTACTTGTCTGCAGATTGCTTCCCTTTGCCTATGGTCCAGACTGCCAAGGGTGAGGATTCTCCAGTCCTGGGGAATTGGGAAATGCTCACTTGAAGAACAACCTGTTTGGAAAGCAACTGTGTGGAGCTGCTCAGAGGTTGGTTTAGAGAGATGAAATTTCAGATGAAAGATAAATTATGTTCTGTTTTTACCATTGCAGCTGTGGGTGTATGAGAGTGTTCTTCTTCATATCAATCTCTGTTAAAATGTCAGAATGAAATTGCTCTGTGTGGGACACCTTTAATTTATTTTCTTCTTTCAAGTGGATACATTTCCAATAAATATAATCATTGGCTGGTATTACAATTTAAATAAGACAGTGTTGCCCACTGGAAGAACCTGATTCTGCTTAGGTAGAAATCTTACTGATTTTGACAGCCATGACAAAGACCTGATAGCTGACAGCTTTTCTTTTTCCAAATTCCTCAGCCCACTGCACTCTCCTACCTATTACACACACATGTGGTTCCATTAGTGTTGCACACATGTACAGGGAATATTCAGTGATGTCTTCTAATAAGTTATTGCTTTTCCTTCCACTCTGCTTTACATGATAAATATTTTAACATGCCCCTCTGGATAACTGCAATGGTAAAACAAGCTGTGAGCAGTTACTCCTGCAGCTGCCACTTGGATTTTTCCAGGGTAAGGAAGTGTCAAATGTTTATTGAGGCTTCCCTGCAAACTAACAGCTGCCTCTCAGGATGGAAGTAGCCCCAGATAGTTCCATCAGCCATGAGGGGTAGGAATTGGGCTTTGAATTCAGCTCCTCATAGCACAATGTGTGTGTAAGACACCCCCAGACAACATTTAGCTTTGAAATGAGTTTGGAGAGACAAAATAGTCCATGTCCAGTCATGGAAAAATGCTACAACATTCAGTAAAGATGGTTATTTCTACTTAATATCAAGAGGTTTGAGTTAATGAACAAGCAGCTACCACTGGAGGACACACTTGTGACCAAACCTTTCCCTAGAGGATGGAAGTGCCTTGAAGTCATTGGGTACCTCAGAGCTATGGATGCAACTACAAGGAAGGCAGCCATGGCTACCTGTGGAGTTTTGTTTGTCTCAGAAATTCAAGTGATTGCTCCTCCTCTGCCTGCCAGAGTGGCTTACCTTCGTGCATAAAGAAAATGCACACATGCTTCCTCAGAGAGAAACACATTCACACTTGAAAATCTATTGCTTGGGAGCTTGAATCATTTTCTAGCCACAAAATACAACTTTTTTGGGCTTAAATTCTTTATAAACATCTCTTCAGGAGACTGTGTGTTCCCATCAGGTGTCCTACCTTCACTGCACTGTTGAGAAGTCGATCTTTTTCTTCCAACTGTCTGTGCTCACTCTTCAGCTCACTGCTTCTCTTTAATAACTTCCTCTTCTCTTCTTCTTTGACTGTGGAACAATAAGATTAAGGATGCAGAGGTTAAGAAAAGGATGTGGTGTGCACTTGAGGACAGAAAGCAGAAGCAGGTATTTTGCATGGTGAGTTTAAGGTCTCATTAGCCTTTTGTCAGCAGGTACAGCCAAAGAAATCTGGAGTTTCTGCTTGCAGGCATTTCTTCACTAAAAGGGTGGTCGGGCATTGGAAGGGGCTGCCTAGGGAGGTGGTGGAGTCCTCGTCCCTGGAGGTGTCCATGGAACAACTGGACATGGCACTCAGTGCTCTGGGCTGGTTGACAAGGTGGGATCTGTTACAGGTTGGACTCCATGAACTTGTGGGGCTTTTCCAACCTCAGTGGTTCTGGGATTCTGTGCATGTGTCCATGTCAATGGTTAGCACAAAGGAGGACAACCCAAAAGGTACAGTGCACCTTTAAGGTGAATTAAAATTAATCCTTAGACTTCATGTGATCCTCAAGGTCTCCAAGAAGGAGGTGAGTGGTATTTAGGAAGAGGCCAGCCCCTTGGAATGGCAATAGTTAGTGACCCTGGCAGAAAAGCACAATTATAAGTGTGCCAGACCTCCCTAAAGGTCCTTACAAATATGATCTAGTGCCCCAAACAGCCTGTTGTAAGAGTGCAACAGGGAATTAAAAAAGAACAATGCTCAGTGCAGAGCTGTCACACAGCACATGACTCAAGTGGCTGCCATACCCCATAACTGAGACAATGAGAAGCTGGGGTTGCTGTGGGGTCAGGGACACTAGCCTGGCATTGTGTCCACACCCAATTGCATGGCTCTGCTTAGCCTGACTCTGCCTCACAATGATTCTGCCTCAAAATCCTGTTTTCAGCACTGTTCAGGGAAGGCACCACTTTGATGACAGCTTCCTCCAGCAGAGTGAAGTTCCTGAGAGATCACTCTCAGCTTCCTTTCAGAGAGAAGGGAGCAAAGGAGCAGACCAAGGGGAAGGGGACAGAAAAAGTCTGCCCTGCCCAGTCACTCATGGTCCTATGACCTCCACCATCAGACCTGGCAGCATTGTAACTCTATTTGATATTTCAGCTAAGGACTCAAACAGCACTGCTATCATGAGCAGGGAATCCCTTGTCAGAGGCTGAGTTAATCCCTACCTGTTTTATGAGTAACATAGGAGTGAACAATAGCCAGAGTTCCAGTCCATGGCACATTGTCATCTTTCTTTAAAACCTATAAGCCCAAGAAACAATAAATGGTTAGGATTCCAAAAAAAACCCCACACACTAATGTTTGCTCCAGCCTTACAGTTTGGCAGGACCAGAACTTGGATCCTTGTCTCGGAACATAAAAGTGATCTCAAGGCTAAGCACAGGGAACTCTGTGGCACAGAATCTACACTTTAGTGTTTTAATAATTTTTTTCTTACTTGTGCTATCAACATTATTCACAGCAACTAGACAGTTTAGCATATCTCACATGATGAACAGTTGTGTGTAACAAATGTGATTTAAAGAAAAGGAAGTTTTCTCCTCACACCTTTCAGATCCACTAGTGAACAGTGCCTTCTGACACTGCCTCCCTCATCTCTAAGATTTACATTCTTTTGTCTGGCTACATGATGGTGGTGTCACTGTAAACAAAGGAGCTGAAGAGATATTTTTAAGAGGACAATTCTTAGCAATTACAGGCAAGCTACAGCACTCCCTGTATGTTCTAACTCTAGGATGGTGAAAAATACCAAAAATAATACTGCAAACTGCACTAAAAGCCTCTCAGCACTTCTTTATCTAATGTAGTCCACTGAGTTATGACCATAGGTTAGACTTGTTTAGGGGTATACAAATCTGAGGTGTCTCCCCATTTTCCCTTCTTGGTACACCACGCTCCATGTAGCTTACCTTCTGTTGGCACTTTGGGCAGACCCAGAGCCCTTTGGGGGCAGTTTTGAGGGGTGGGTCCAAGCAGTTGAGGTGATATGCTCTGGGACATGTGCCACAGGGCTGCAAGTTAACTCCACGCTTGCAAGCAGTGCAGTGCTCATCGTGATGGATCTCGTTCTGCAAGAGAAGGGTGCCCTGGGTAAAGTCAATCCATTGAGAACTTCTCTCTACACAGCATTCAAAGCCTCTACTGCAGCAGACAGGCTCCTTCAAACACGAAATCTAATTGTCAAAAGGACCCTGACAGACACAGAAGACAGAAATAATAGATATATGATAGCAAGAAATACAAACAACAAATGACCCAGAAGCAAGTTACAGAAATTGAAACATAAAACCCAACTAATCAAACACAGGAGAAAGTCAACTAATATAGCCAGTGATATAGGAATTATTGTGACATAGGAATTATTTCACTTTTTTCTTTGCCAGTGTGTTACTACAACACACATGTATCCCCATGCATGGCTCTGTCGTGGGTCAGAGTTAATGTGGGGATCACTTGTCTGTGATGCCCAAAGCAGAGGGAAGCATAAAGGAAAAGGGTTCTGGGGAAGAAGCACAGTTCCATGTTTCATTCCCACTGCCTCAAAGGGCAGCTGGGGAAACAGGAGGCTGGAGCAAAGCCTTGGGCTACAAACCCTCTTTTGTGAGCTCCTCTGGCCTCTTTCTCCCTGGCACTAATTGGTCTCTGCTCAGACTTGCTCTGACAATCTTTCTCCAACAAGACTGATTAGTGCTTTGTCTGAAGCAACACACAACATGAACTGAGACTCATCAACAAAGTTACAATGTCGTGTAGTAGATTGCTATGCTAATCTGGTGGCAACATTAATTACTCTTTTTAATAAAGGAGACACTGATTCTGAAACTCTCATGCCTTGTGAATCATTACAAAAAATAAAAAAACTTCCTACTGCTTTTCTAGGAAGTAGAATAGTGATTTTATGTGTTTCAATTCCAAAAGCGTGCTTTCATTTTTTGGAATAGTAATTAAAAAGTTCCACGGCAGTTTTAGTCAGGTTTATATCCTGAATTCTAAACCAGTCCTGTCAAAAAATCACTCTCCAAAATATTACTCTTTATAAACTACCTGCTCAAAGAATCTTAATTTTAAGCCCAATGTAAGGAGATCTAATCTTTACAAACTAGAATGGTTACTCATTTTTCTTATAAAATTTTCATTAAACTCATAAATCTGGTCTAGCAATTTCTCAATCAGTGGAGTCAACAAAGGGACTAAACTCAAGCCTTGCATGTGAAAGCCCAAGAGTTCATCTCTTTAAAATTCTAGCTTAGGGACTCAAAGATTTAGTTAAGTGGGAGAAGAGAATACTGCAATTAGGTACCTTGAGAGTGACTACAATAATCAGAGGCAAGCACTGAATACACAGTGATGAGAAAGATACCTGCCAATACACAAACTTTGCCACACATACCTTCCAGAATGAATCCTCATTTGCTAGCATGCAAAAGAAGGGCAGAAAACAGATCAGTGGAAAATACATTGCTGCAGTGGTTGCTAGTTCTCAGCTGTGGGAGTAATTTTAATCGAGATGTGGTATAGGAGATCAGGACATTGCCAAAATTCATGCAGGCAGTAAAGAATGGAACAGCAAGCAGTGAAGTTAGCATTTGAGATTTAAAAATGTACATGGCAGGTACCCCATGTCCAAAGGTCTGATGCTAAAAGGTTATAGTATTTGGAAATTTCAGAAATTTTCCTGCAGAGCTCCTCTCTACATGCCAGTCAAAAAGTTTTCCTGAAGGACCACAGCATGCTGGGTGTTGAAAAGGCTGGCCCTGAACCAGCAATGCACTTAATGTGGAGCATGAAATGGGTGCCTCCAACTACTTGTTAAACACAGATTTAAATGTTGAGCTGGTTCCTGGATAAAATGGTCAGCTCCTGTAGGAGTGAGCCTGAGGGTACCACCAAGTCCTTCTCATGAGACTACTCCCACCCAGAACACCAGTGACCTTTGGATGAACTGAGTCTGTACTGATTGTATTCACAACTTGATAGGAACAAGAACCAAGAGAGCTCACTGGAAAGCAGGCCAAGTCTTCCATAAAAAAAATAAATTGTGGAATTCAACACACTTTGGTCCAAAAATAAGAAGCCAGAAAAAATTAAGAGCTTTATGGAAACTGCGCAGTGTGTTGCAATTTCTGCTGCTGATTTCATAGAATCACAGAATGTCCTAAGCTGGAAGGTACCATCAGGATCATTGAGTCCAGCCTCTGGCCCTGCACAGACACCCCAAAAATCCCACCCTTGGCCTGAGAACATTGTCCAAAGTCTCCTGGAGCTCTGGCAGCCTTGGGGCTGTGACCTGACCCCTGTTCAATGCCCCACCACCCTCTGGGGGAAGAACCTTTTCCTGATATCCAGCCTAATATGGCCCTGGCATGGATCCAGCTATTCACTTGGGGTCTTTCAAGGGGCTGGAGCACACTGTCCCACTGAAAAACACTTCATGGACAGGGATTTCTTTGGATTAAAGTGGAGGCAACCAAACTGATACCACTCCTGCAGAGTGCAGGAACAAGGCAAACACTAATTACAGAAGCATCCTTCCAATGCTGGCAGTTTATGGCTTCCCTAATGCTGAGCTTGCATCTTCATTTTTGCATTTAGCAGCCTCTGATAGATTTTTTTCTTCCATAAATTTCTCTACTTTTCCCAAGAATTCTAGTATACTTTGGCAATGATGTCCATAAATAATCACAGACTAATAAAATGTGTAGATGTTACTTCACATCCAAAAATACACACACAAGGATCCACCACTGTATGACACCATGATTACTCAGGGGATATAAATGCTATTCAGATCAACAGAGGCTTGATAATTGATGAATCTTTTGTACAAATGATACATGTCAGGGGATGTGACCTCATTTCAGAAAAGACATTTTCATTTAAATCAATCCTGATCAATTAACATTTTGATCAAAATTTACAAGAATTGTCCTCTTCTGTATATGCAGACATGACAGTTGTTTCCTGGACATTGTGGGGATTTTTTTTTTCTAGTTTGTTTGTCTTTTCAGCTCACTTTTGCTACAAAGTTTTAAACTTCTTAAAACATGTCCACTTCCCTCTTCTAGTTGCTAAAAAATTAAACTGAAGACAATATTTTTAAAGGAGCATTTTAAAAGAGAAGGGCAGCCATCTCTGCACTGAAGCTGGAGAACTGCATCACTGCAGAGCCAAGCAATCTGGGACAGCACCTGCCTTCTGCTCAGTGCCTGCACAGCATCCAGAAAAACAGAGCTGGTGCCAAAAATATCCTTGCAGAGGTGAGGAATTCTGCTATAAAGAAGTCCATCTCAACATTCTCAGAATATGCAGAACTCCAGCAGGTGTTCTGGATTCTGGAAAAACCAAAGATACAGGACTCAAAGAGGAATTAATGATTAAGGAGAGAGGTTGCTGATTTTCAGGAAGCTGAGATAGCTGCAACAGTAGATGTCTGTCCCTTGCCCACTTCTTTGCAAATATAATGAGAAACATGTAATGAAAGGAAGGTCAGAAATATCAAAACCTAACTTAAACCCACCCAGGGGCTGGAGGCACAACTTGCTAACAATGCCACTCTGTCCTGATTTCTCACATGTGTTTACACGGGGAAAACAAGTGCTATGATAAGACAAACAATCTATTGCAATTGTAATTTTGAATATAAAACTAAGCCAGAAATAATATTCTTTCCAGTGGGGCTCACATGAGCCTGGCTTCCTGCTAAGAGGCATGTCATCATAGCTGCTTACTGTAATAACCTCTGCTGTCCTCTGAGAGCCAATGCATTAGAGGTGAGTAAAGTAATGCATGTGGTAAGTAGGCCAAGTGTCTGTATCTGGCATGTGAATTTTTGAAGGCAGAGAGAAGCACTGCTGCCTTTCAGTTGGTGCTCCTGTGGTGCAGGAAGTCAAGGCAGAGGCAGAAAGGTGAATCTCAAGCACTAAACATGACACTTGACAGGGAGATCAAGCAAACACTGAAAAACTGTCAAAACTTCATGTCTCAATTATAATTACCCCTGCAAATGCTCCTAATACTGAAATAATATTTAACTTGGATAAAGGTCTCTCTTCCCTTACCTCTAATGCAACTTAGTAGAGAAAAAGTTATAAAGACAAAATAAGGGCAAGGACTGAATCAAATTTCTTTACTGATTTGTACTATTTTAAGGAAGAAAGTTTCTCACTTTATTCCTTAAAACAGTACATGGATCTTGTCTGAAGAAGTAAACTGTACTCAACATTCCCTGTGTTCCACCTCTCATTCCCAACTCATTGTCTTCTCTGTGTTGCACATTTTTTCCTGAAATGTGCTTCTTCCCATGAACAAATCATCAGCATCCCCAAATGGCTCCTCTGAGTCCTTAGTTCTCAAGGCATTTACTATTAAATTTCAGATATGAAGTTCTTATAAGTACAAGACTGGAAGGCATCTTGAAGGTCATCAGGTCTAGATTTATGACTCTACCTCTTGGAATTAGAAAAACCGGCTCTCAACCCTTGTTACTGAAGCAAAATTTGGGAGAAATTTCTGATGCTTGAGGATGGAGAGCAGTTTCTTAAAGCCGGTGGGAAGAGGCAAATGAAAAGCCTAAAACAGTAATTTTTTTTTAATATGTATTTTTAAGTACTTGGGGTTGGCAACACTACTTTCTTCAATCAGTTCTCTCACTGCATGGTGCTTAAAGTGCCTGTCTTAGGTTGCAAGATGTGTCTGGGAGTGTGTAATCTATTGCCATCTGTTAGAGTTACCTTCTGTTAATTGGGCCAACCACTAAAACCAGGTGGGCCAGTTTGCTTTATCTCCTGCACAATCAATCCTCCCTCCAAGAAATATCATCTGTTAATGAGCCATTGAGTCTCACTGCATAACTAATAAAAATTACACAATCCCATTATGAGATGCTCTGCACAGGGGGAGGAGCCAAAAATTTCTACCTGGATATAATCTGAGATTTGGAACATCACAATCAGCCTTTTCCACAGGATTCCCAGAGGAGCAACTTTCTTTTCCACTAGGTTCCCAGAAGACCAGGCCCATCTACAGCATCACTGGACCTTCAGAAGAAAACTAAGCCTTCTACAGGATCCCTGCTGCAACAGAACCACCCCTGTCACTGCAGGAGGGCTGCAGCCACCATTTAATGGCACTGCTGCCACCACCCTGGCCCACAGGGTGTCAGGGCCTATTCTGACTCTGTCAGTGTTGTTTTGCATTTCTATTTTTTTTCCCCTAATAAAAAACTGTCATTCCTACTGCTATATCTTTGCCTGAGAGCCCTTTAATTTCAATATTATAATAATTCAGAGCGAGGGGGTTTACATTCTCTATTTCAAGGGAGGCTCCTGCCTTCCTTAGCAGATACCTGTCTTTTCAAACCAAAACAGTGCCAGAGATCAGATTTTCCACTGATTGCAGAGGTTTTGGATCCATTTCTACAAAATTGTGACCTTTAGCCTTACCTTTCCATTGTTTTTGCAGGAAAACACCTTTCACTCCATATTAAAAAACACAGCGACATTACACAAAGTAATGCCCTGTGGTATCCTAACAGTAACGTATAGGAAATCCTGCTAATAAATTTTTAACACATCATTATGAGAGTAGTATATTCATTTAAAAATATGCTTACCTCTTGTTGAAAGGAACAAGGGGTTATTCAAATAATTCGATGCAAGGCGTTTCCTCTACAAGGGAAAAGAAACCAACCCCCATGTCATTGCAGTGCTCTGCTTGTCTCTTACATTTCACATTATCAGTCTCCATGGGCTTACCTCATACCTAACCAGCTCTCCAAAAGCTTCTTAGAGACCGCTGACACAGTCAGTCAAACAGTTGCATAATTTCATAATTTACCTTTCTAACAAGTTTCTCACAGAACAGTTTATTGTGTATTAGATTTTATTAAGAAGTGAGAAATACAAATTGTGAATGGTATTGGTGGGGTTGCAGGATATGTCACATGGGCTGGTAAGAGCAAGACTATAGCAAAACTAACTCCAAGCCCAGCAACATCCATAAGGGAAAATTGTTGCTGTGAGATGACATTTTTATTTGCATTTATGGATGCCTATTTTTATTTGCATATATAGAAATGGTGATGGATTTCTCACCAGCAGGAAAACCACTACTACCTTTGTGACACCTGCCTACAGTTCAGAGGAACATACTGCATTTGCAAGCAACAAGTGAGGGCCTAAGCAAAATATTTCCCTTTCAGAAGTGACTGTGCAGGACTTTGAGGAGCTGGCAGTAATTTCAGTCTGCTGAGCTCACCAAACTTACAAACAGAGAGCACTGCAAACCTGTCTGAGATGTTTAATTCATCTCACACAGCCCATGGCCAGCCTTGTCTGATGGCACAAGTTGTGGTCAATAGCAAGCCAGGCTTCATTAATAGTCTGGACAACCCCAAATTGTTCCTCTGAGACACCCAATACTTGTACAGCAGGACTGGAGACAGCACCATTTTCCTCCATTATGTGTTGTTAGATTCAGCTTGGAAGAAAATTAGAGGAGTTTTGCTACTAAATTTTTTATTCTGTGGTGAACAAACTATTCTCTTATAGACAGGTGCCTGCCAGTCTGTTAATGAACTTTGAATAGATGTTTCTTTCTTCAAAAAATAACCAGCCCAAAATGTAACCATTTCCTATGAAAAAAAGGCTACTGAGGCTATGAAAATAAAATGGTATCTCATTTTTTTAAAGAAAAAAGCTTTGAGAAGAAAAAGCACACCATTCAAGTGAAGACATAAGACCATGATCATATTTTTGCAGTCAAAGTTAATATCACCACTATGAATGCTGAACTCCTGCCATTTTGAGGGGTGTGGGCAAATAAAAGGTCTAATTTATAGGCAACTTCAATTTAAACAATCATGAATTAAAGATCATTCAGTAGACTAAATTAAACTGCATCAAAATGCCTGAAATGCCACCAATACCTCAACTCCCTGATTAGCAAACCAGTCTGAGCAGCTAATTGATTAGAGAAAAAACATCTGCCTCCATTTTACTTGAATGACATTCCCCATGGTCAGTACTTAATGACAGCTCCTAATGAGGACACAGCTGATCAGCCACAGGAGTCTTTCACAGACATTTCTTTGTCCATGCCATCCTTCCTTCAAGCATATGCTTTTGAGAATAGATATGATGAGAAATATGAACTAGGGGTGCAGTAGACCTGGGCCATCTTCTCTTCCACCTCTCCAAGGCAATAGAGTTTGTCACAAACACCAACCTGGCTACAGCCACAAAACTCTGCTGCAGGTATTTTAATAATCAGGACAAAAACATCTAAAGAGCTACAGATTTCATGCTAGCAAGGCTAAAGTTCCTACTGTGTTAAATACTGCACTTATGGGCATCAGTATTTGCACTGAAAAAAAAATAGTTGAGGAATTCTGAGGAACTCAAGTGCCCAGAGCTGCTCTGGAGTATAAAAATCTCCAGTGCTTTCAAAAAAAGAACAATCAAGCAACTCAGCAGTTTGACTGCAGCAGTGTGTTTCTTCTTAGTCTCATCTGTTTGCTATCTGCCAGCAAAGACAGAAATCTGAAATACTGGCATACCAGAAATTCTGCATCACTTATGCCTAAATAAACAACAATCACTTTCTTTAGTCTTAGAGGACTCAGAACACAGAGAGGCCTTGCTTAAATGGAGAGCTGGCTGCAATTGAGTTTCATCCCAGTAGAAAGTTCAGACAGTAAACCCAAACTGTGCTGAAATTTTAAATGTGAAATTTTAATTAGCTGAATAAACGCATATATGTTTGTTTAGAAACAAAGAAAAAAATCCAGAAAAAGTTAAGCCTATTTATATGCTGCTTTTACACCAAGTTTGCAATCCAATATTACACAGGACCAGAGATTATCCAGAGCATTTTTCTTTTAATAATGCATTGTTATATTTATTATGCAGACTTCTATACCCTCTGCCGACCACACTGATTCTTAAACCAACACGCCCCTTTTATGAATGCCACAAATTAAAAAAAGTGATGATGATGATGATGATGATTACTATTAATTTGGCACATAAGAAAAGAGAAATAGCAATGCACATGATCTAAAGGGACTGCCTTTGTAGATAAAAGAGTAATTAGGTCCTGCATTAATTTAGTTCTCTTGGACTTTATTAAAACTAAGATGAATTCTAGTTTGGAGCAAGTGATGTTGTGTGGTGAAAACCTGTTGTTTAGCCACTGAGATATTTTCTTTCTTTTCTACATCAAGATCTCTTTACAAGTAGCTGTGGTTCTACATTCATATATATTTTTGTAGTAAAACACACTTAGACCTTTTATTGATATGAAATAGAACTGTGGTAAAAAAAGTGAATGGTAAAGTACCTCTGTTTCCAAGAGTCCACTGTAGGCTGGATTTGCTGTGCTTCTTCTCTTTCTTTCCTGACGCTTGCTCTGGATTTCTGTAACCATGGAAAGGAACATGAACTGTGTATTTCTCATTTATCAGGGAAAAATGTAGATATAACTTGCTAAGCAAGATGATCTTACCCACACAGCCCCTTGAGCTTTGTGTTCTGTTTCAGTTTCTAAAGTATAACTGGGTTGCATCAGCATTGATATTTGCTGCAGTTCAAGGTTTGACATTAATAAGCTTTTCCTTGTGATATTCACAGGCATTTTTTATTTTTTTCTTCCTTCAAGGTAGACTTCTGCTGCCCTACAAGAATTTTATTATGATCTCTTCAGACACATATTCAGCAAGCATCATCAGAGAGCCCTCAGAGTACTCTCCTCCATGGAGGTCAGGAAAAGCAGAGTTGAAATGGCACAGCTGGATTCAGTTCTAACCAGGGTGTGATGATTTATCCACCCAGAACACAACTTCATAATCCTGAGTTTGCAAAATGTCATTATGAGTCATATGTGCGTGTTTGTGTCCCTGCAAACACCAGCACACAGATGGGCTCTTTGGACTGACTGCAGCCCATTTTATTCCTTCCACTAAACTTCCACAACTCCCTTCCACTAAATGGTGACACCTATTGAAGATGACACATGCTGAGGACTGTATTTAGCAACCACCAGCCACATGCACAACTCTGTAAACACAGAGAGATGGAGCAGATTACTCAGCCACAGAAATCTGTAGGTTTAATGTACTTTGATCTGAGCCAGGATTCCATTTACATCACATGGAATTTCTTTCTGCAGCTCTTGACGTCAGTTCAGAATGCTGAGATTATTACAAGCATGTCTTTTAGAGCCTGTTAGTTTGATTATAAACCCCAGACACACTTTAGTAAGGAGAGCCACAGCATCCACCCCATGACATGAAGTGCGTGCTCTATTCCAAAATATTTCCTGTGTGAATATTGTAAGGTAAACTTTAGACTTGCTGCTGAGGTACCAGAGGGTATTCTAAATGTCCCCATGGTGGTGATACCTTTGCTCTGTCTTGCTCTATCTCAGAAGGAGAGGAACTGGCAGGAGCATGTTCTTCAGCCCAGAGGCCCTGGAGCCCACCCAACAGAAACTCAGGACACCATCTGATTATGCAGGAGGTCTGGTGTCTTTCCTCAATATCTGAGCTGAGGAGGTCTATCTCAGAACACACTCATAGAATGCCCTTCAGGGTATTGAGCAAGATCCCCCACCTGTAATCCAACATTAACATACAGGTGAGCTTTCAGGGTGTTTATATACTTGGGAACTGGATCCCCAGTACTTAGTTCTGGTTTCCAGCACCCTTTTCCAGTGTTGATCATTCCCATATACCATTTGAAGCATTGCTATGAACAGGGTGTCAGTATTTTTGGTCATGTCTTGGACATGGTGTCCCTGGAGATGAGGCCAACACTTCATATGGGTTTTGTACTGGCTTAACTTCCAAGTTGGATTTAAAACTTACAAGAATGGATTTAAAACTTTCCCTTCACGAAAGAGTATTGGCTAAGCTGCTGTGCTTGGAGTGAGGGATGCATCAGAAGGAAACTAGATGGACAAGGAAAACAGGAGAGTAGCTGGGTTTTCCTATGGCACAGGGACATGTCATCTCCCATGTTCAGAAGGTGTCTTCTCCTAGGGCACTTCAAAGAGCATAGTCACAAGCTGCCATGTGACTCAAGGGGCTGCACAGAATCTCACCACAAAGAAATGTGTGATCTGAAGCTGCACTAGGATGTGAGATAGGTGCTTTGGCTGTAACCACTGTAACATTAACATCATTCAGGCTATGAAGACTCCAGAACACAGGATCTTGTCTGGGAAACAGTTCTGTTCCTACTGTGAAAATATTTCCCATGAAATGCTCATGTGTCTATGCTGAAATATCCATCCTGAAGCTCCCAGGCTCTCTGAAAGCATCTAAAGGGAATCGTGCCTCAGCAGCAGGGCGAGTGCTACATGCAGTGGCCTCTCAAAGCCACAAAAGAGAAATGTTGTTCTTGATGTCAGTGCCAGATCTTCTGAGGGAAAAAGCTCTCAATGCCCAAAGGAAACAGAGATGTCACAACTGAGGAACCTTGGTGCAGCCATAAAACAGGAATTGGTCCTCAGCTGACTCTTTTCCATGGTCTCAGCAGTGTGAGCTGGAGCTGTGGCTCCTGCAGCCAGGCTCAGCACCCTTATCAGTGAATTCAGAGCTTGCGGCATCTCAGCACTGCCATGGCAGTGCAGAGAAAAAACTGGAGTTAGGGCAGGCTTGGTCTTCCAGAAGTGGTCACAAGGATAGAAGATTGGGACTTTCAATGGCCCAGAAAAAGAAACAAAGAATTCAATGCAGCAGAGTTTTCTTTGTATGTAACTGGGCCAAGCATCTCATAAATGGACAGTGCTGGATCTGTTGCTCTCTGTCCTTCTTGGTCCCAAGTTAAAGAGAAAATTTCTTTGGTACATGCTCTCACCAAGGCAATGGAAAATATCTGGTGGTGTCTGACTCACACATATGGCAGATAGTCGGAATGCAGGTTTGGAAGAGGCACTGCTATGGTACAGAGATAAGAGCTGGCTGGGACAAAAAGTAATAGCAGTGGGAATAGATGGAAAAGAAGAGAGAGAGAGAGTAGTGAAGGAAACATCTCGAGATGTACAATACCATCAGGGAGGGAGAGCACTTCCTTAGTGGACACAAATGCATCTATGTACACGAGGAGTGGTTCTGTCAATAATTACACCCACACAGAGCAAAAGCATACACTGGTGTGTGCTATCTTTTGTTACTTGTTACTTCTGCTAAAAAAGTATTGCGTACTTTTCAGAACAGGATGCAATAAAGTTAAATTAAATTTGTTTCAATTGATGAAATCATAAATATTTCAGTAATCTAGATGGACCAAGATATGCATTCTTAGAGTGACCTGAACTAAAGGTCCTTCTATAAAATTTTGCTTTCTAGAATTTTTTTTACAAAATTGTAATGCTGAAAGGTGTTTCTAATAGCCTAGAGAAAAAGATTCAATAGGTTACAACTGTGCACTGCATCACAGAATTAAGCTATCTTATTCCTTAGCTTATCAATTAAAAAAATAGAAGCCAAACAGGAAAAATTAAACTGTAATACATTTGACAAAGATGAATTAATTTAAAGATAGATTTATGTTGGAGGCCAAAATCCAGTGAGCTGCTGCCTTCACAATCAACATTCTGCATGGTCATCCTATGAAGCCTGTGATGGCAATTTTTCTTCAGGGAAAGCTGCACCTTGCAGCCTGTCAGTCAGTGGAAGCAGCTGTGTTCATTTACTGGTAAAGATGCCTGGTAAAAAGGCTCTGCAGAATAGAGCTCTTTCCCCAGGCAGGGAATGCTTGTGTGGAGGTCAGGTGAAAAGGCTTTTAGGTGGATAGAGAAATACATATGGACTTGGAGAAAGCCCTTCACCAGAAAATTAATGAATAAAATTAAGAAAAACTGTAACACTGTGAATTAGAGATACTAAATGAATAAGCTTTTAATGATCCAATCTTGATAGAGTTAAATTCCAAAAATGTGAAATTGAAAAATAATTAGAAGTTTTAAAATAAACTGAACTGCGTAATGACCACTGCTTCCTGATAAATAGCAATGACTGCTAACTGTAAACATGACACAGTAAAATAATAACCTTCAGCATCTGAAAGCTATAAGGAAATCTCTGACAGTTGTAATCACCAATTCTGATGAAAAAATACCCTTTCCATAGTAAATAGCTCTTGGCTGGAATCATTTATTTAATGCTAGTAGAAATATAAAATGTGAATTTGTCTTCAAGAATTGATTCTGCATGGTGGGTGTTGTAGCAGTTTGGTTTAAAATGAGCATCTCCACACTTGGCATAGAACAGAGAAGAGCACTGCTGGCATTTTGAACATAAGCAATAAATCCACACAAACAATTAGTTTCAATAAAATCCAAGGGTATAGAATTATTCAAAATTAAGTTATCTCTGTTGTAAGCATAATTTGTATTTCGGCATAATTTCAAATGTTGTCCTGTTTTCCTTAGACAAAGAAAACAAGAACTAATCATCATTTGCACTTTTTGGATTATAAATCTTCTCCCCAAATTGTTGTAGCTTTTTGATTTCCATTTCAATCCATGACCATTAAGGGATTAAAAATTATGAAGGCTTAAAATTTCTTTAAACTGCTTTCAAATTCTCAGTCACTGGGACATTAAATTATTTTTTTAAATGCAGATTTAAAGAGGAAAAACACTGAAAAATAGAAACAAGACCCACAGGAAACCTGCTGCATACACTGAGGAGACACTACAATTCAGATATTTTCTCACTAATTCACAACTTGTCTTAAAACCAAAGAAATGAAAATCTTAGTAAAAAGAATTCAAGGTAAAAATGTAGATACCTTGAGACAGCGAGGTAGCTAAGCATGCTCCTAAGCCTAAAGCACATAAAACTTAAACTCAGGGCACTGGAAATTCCTAAGTATTTTGTTTAATATGGTCCATGGGATGGGTGGTAAATATCAATTGCCATTAACACTTTTTGTGATCAAGAATCACTGTCAGCTGACACAGATACCAGTTTTCTCTCCTTTTACTGGTGGAATCACACCACCTTGTTGTAGCTGATCTTGTAACTAAAACCATCAGGCTGCAGATCTTTTCTTCAAAACACCTGCATCATCTCTGCCCATGAGAACTATTCTGCCACCCCAACTTGTCTCATGCCACTGGCAAATTTGCTAAACAAACTCTTTTTCCCCCCCTTTCATCTCTAATTTCAGAACAACAAAGCTGAGGCAAAGAAAGATACAAATCTGCTAACTTTTGCAAGCTATTTTTGGAAGGTTGGAGAAGGAAACTGAAAAGGATGCGGTGCTGATTTTAGCTTACGTGCAATATTTGTTTGAAGTCATATGCAGGAGCCTGAGAAGACATGCTAGATGCTCTCAGGCAAACACTGGATTTGATGGGAAGTTTAAGTTTTTGGCTAAGTGGGGAAAAGGGAGGGCAGGAATTCTTTGTGAGATGTAGTCTTAAGTAAGTAAAATCTTATGAAACAAATGCCAGATATTCACTGCTATTTTACATATTATTTTGTGGAACTCTAGAGGTGACAGACAATCCACTCAAAAAGTAAAAGTCCATCTCACATGGGAGAGAGCAGAGGGCACTTGATGCATATCTGGGCAAACATCTTTGAACCTCACAGATCCATCAACCAGATCAGTGGCAATCAGAGCCTTTGCAGGATTTTTATTTCACTGTTTCTCCCAGGTCTTCACATCTTTTAAAGGACCATGATGACTGAGTGGGTCCAAATCCCAGCCTGTGCCAAGCAGGCTGGTGGCTGCAGGGCCAGTCCTTGTGCCCCTTGAGCTTTGCCATGGGGTGGGAGGCAGAGCTAAGGTCTCCCACTGCTGTGAGTCTGAAAGGCACAACTGTGCAAAGGTAACCCTGCATCTCATTTTTTCATTTTCATTTTTCAGTTTTCATGCCCTTCAGAGGGCATGAAAAAAACAAGAAAAGGAAAAACTGAGAGGGAATCTTGTTGATGTGTACAAATATCTGCAGGCAGGGATCAGAGCACGGGCTGGGCTGTGCTCCATGGTGCCCAGCAACAGGACAAGAGGCAATGTGCAGAAACTGATGCCTAGGAAGTTCATCCTGAACATGAGGAAGAACTTCTTTTCCAGAAGGGTAACAGAACTCTGAACAGATTGCCCAGAGAGGCTGTGGAATCTCCTTCTCTGGAGAGTTTCAAAAGCCATCTGAACACAATCCTCAGTAATGTGCTCTGGCAGAGAAGCCAACAGAAAAGATTTCACTCAAAAACTGAACTGTAAATCAACATATGCCACCTTACCTTCCAAATGTTCTGTTGTAACCAGTCCTAGTGCTACCATGAAGGCAATTTTCTGAGGAAAAAATAAACGAGTTAGATTTCCTATTATAATGATCATGGTAAGAAAATAAATAAAATTAGTAAGAAAATAAATAAACCCAGTAAAAGCCTTTTAGAAATGTATCTTATTTGAATGCATAGTAATGTAAAGAACTTTAACTGAAGATTTGCTTGAGATATGCCTGGTTCTCCTTGTATGACTACATAAACTCAAGCAGTTCAAAGATGTCTGAAGTCAATGCTCAATGACTACTGATCTTACACAGCACATGACCAATATTCAATCAATTCAATCAATTTCACATTGCTAGCTGGATTGCTACTCAGTTCTTAAGTGAAGTAATTTTGTATTATTTTTACAATCTGGACAAGACACTGCTTTTAGGGGATATGAGCAAGCTGTATGAAGTGAAACAAGTATGAACTGTACAACACTAAACAAGACATCAGAAGCATATTGAAAGTCTCCTCCCATTAAAAAAAACCCAACCAACCAAACAAAAAAACTCCCAGAAATTTCTCTTCCCGAGTTTTAAAAATAACATCTTGTGCACTGATGCAATATTTTTCCTCAATGAGGAGTGAACAAGCATCTCCTACTGACACTGGTGAACTCATTTTGCAGCGTGAAATCTGATCGAAAATATTATTCACAACACTTTTAAACTATATATGCACAAAACATATCTTCATACCAAAAAAATCTTCAGAACATGCTGATGCAGTGACAGGACAAGTATTTGAGCAGATTCTAAATTTTCTGTCAGTGATTTCTCACTGGAAAACATTTCCTTGCAGAAAGGTTTTGCTGAATGTTTTATCATGTTTTTTTGATGAAAACTGAAATTACACTGTGTTGTTCCAAGCCCAAACTGAACTGAACACCTTGGTTTTCAGTCACATTTGTGGCACTTGTGGGGCTTTGGGGGCCTCCTCTTTCTGCTGTGCTGAATGATCTTGCTGGATTTTCATGAGGTTCAATTCCACAGGAGAGACAATCTGACTGTGAAACTCAAGCTTTTGGGAAATCCAAGCAAGCAAAGCCCACAGTCCAAGTCTGAGGAAGTGTACAAAGACCATAGGAAGATGCAATTATCGTACCTCAAATAAAATGTTTAGATTTAGGTCCAACTAAAACACAGTGTTTGACCAGTAGAAGGTCAAAACATTGTTTCATTCAAAGAGTGTCAGGAGAACATGTTCCAACACTTCCAAGCCAAAATATTAGTCTGACCTTCTTGCTTTGTGAAAAGCTTGATGATTCAACATTTCATTTCAGCTCAGGATAAAATCAACTAGTAAGTCACCAGAACTACAATTTCCTTTTCAATTCTGACTTTCACTAAGTGAAATCGTGAAAGCAAAAGCATCCTCATTTTGTAGATGAAAAGTTCTCTTTGGTGGGTTCATCAAAATCAGAGGTTAGGATTGGACCTCTCTACCACTCATGCATCTGTGAAAATACCTTTGTCAAACAGGTGAACTAACACCCATGTAGGACAGGAATACGTCCTTTCCACAACCTCAAGAGATTCAGGTAGGTTAAAAAATGGTGGTGTAGAATTTCCTCATTGGCAATTTAGATATATTCACACTGTATTTCTGCCTTCCATAGCTGTGGTAATTACACACACGTGTTCATTTGCAAGTCAGACCTTGATTTCAGTAATATTCACTTCTTACATGCCTGAAACAACCAGCCAGGCACAGTGGGGGCCCCACACCTGAAGGAAAATATGAATATTTGATCCACTGTGCAGATCTGAGAAGAAAATTATTCAACTGAGTAGGATTACAAGCTCCACCTCAGCCCTGTCAAAAGTAACAGTGGCAGGATACTTCTCAGCACTGCGAGCAAAAGTAATGACAATTTTAGGAATAGAACCAGGAAGCTGGAATGGTTAATGAGTATTTTTTCAATGGAGTGCAGAATTTTTGCATCACCCCAACATTAAACTGTAGGGAAAGCACATATTTTCTGATGCCTCAACTGAAATTTGTGCACTGGAACATTTGCTAAACAATTTCCTCTCTTCGTGCTAAAATTGTTTGAATATGTATCTAACTAAATGCAACATACTTGCTTAAAATATGAAGAGCCATCACAAGTGGACTTGATAATTATCTCATGATTAAACACAGGAAGTGTTAGCTTTTATAGTTACTTGAAAGATGGTTCCTTTTAAAAAAATCCCAGTACAAGCTGTATTCTTTTGAACAAGCATATTATATTAACAGCCTGTTTGTTTTTATGGGTTTTGCTATTTCACACCTCTGCAGCTGATTGGATTCAACTCAAAATCTGACTTCCATTGCAAAACTTTCATCATCAAATATCACAGGGTCTATTGTTGGTCCTCTGTAGAGGAAGTTGCAAAGCCAAGACTTCATTTTCTCCAGATTTTCAATCCAAGCTTAATACTAGCATTTAGTTCACAATTGCCATGTGTTTCTCTTGTGCTTAGGAAAAATTAGAACACCAGTAACTAAATAACCAGCATTTATGGCAGTATTTTTTCTTTTAGGTAAAAACATTTTAGAATGAAAGTGTTGCCAGATAGTTTGCTAATATGAATTGTTAAATGATCAAAACGGTTTTGGCAGAATGCTGTTTCTCTCTGTGTTGAACTCACGTCTCTTCAAGAAAAAAAGAAAAGATTAAACCCCCCTCAAAAAAAAAGAACAAAAAACCCACAAAAACCAATGTCCAGGGTATTTTCTCCCCAGAGGAGCATCTCCCTTCTGTAATTAGCCCATTTCTTTACAGAAGTTATTCTGGTGGGAGAAGGCCCATCACTGGATCCATCACCATTGTTCTCCATCCCCAGCTGTGCCCCACTGATGGGAATGAGTGGGTGGCCTCCTCCTCTTCCTCAGTCCATGATCAGCTTCACTGCTCACCAGCAGACTGACCAAGCCAGGAGCTAAAGACAGTATTTATCCCTGCTCTTCTCTGTTTGTTCAGGTACACTCAGTAATGTGGGATTCCTGGTTATTGCTAAGTATGGTTATTTCTATTTAGCTCATTTCAAATTTATTAAATCCCAGTCTCTCCCAGCTAAGTTCTCTACAGAGCCATACTGGAGTTCCTGCCTCAGTTTTCTGCTTTGAGGATAAATAAAAGTGAGAAGTGCCTATTTTCTTTTTAAAAATACCATGCTGTGTTTGCTTTAAACTTAATCATCTGCTTATAAGCCGTGAGTGCTTTCAGAAATACACAGAATGTCTTTTCATGAAGCAAAACAAAGATTTTCATAAAAGCATTTCATTTTGTAATTACATGTTCTATTTATGTCATTACATGTATTTATACTAATTATGATGTTAGTTCTAATTACACTAATTGCATAAATACATGATAATCAACTAAAGTTTACTTTCAAAGAACAAAAGAAATTAACTCTAGACCTACCTATTTATGGCTGTGCCACAAATCTATGAAAAGAACTGTCATAGTTTAGGGCACAGTGTCAGCACCCTACCCAGAAAATTAAGGTTTTTGAGAGCTCCAGTAAACAGGGTAGAAACAGTGTCTGTGGTTAGAAAAAGGTTGTTGAGATATTCTAGTTTGCAATGTAAGGAAATTCTTACATTTTTGAATCCCATAGGAAAAGTGTGCCCAGTCCAATTGCCTCCTCCTGCATCTCTCTGGAAGGCTTTTATTCATTATTTTTCCATGGAGAAAAGTAATGAATAAAAAATTGATGTTTTTTCCTAGCATTCTGTTTCTAAGCAGGACCTACTGGTCTTTCTGCACATAAGGTGCTACAAAACAAAGAAGTTTTTGGAAATACTTGTCTAAACAAAACAGAACTCTACAATCCCATCATTCTGTGGTAATGAAGATTCATGTAAGTGTCAGATTTTAAACTTGAGAGGTTTCCCAAGCATAGTTTTGCAGTGCTTCTACATAGAGCTATGATATTTTGGGCTAAAATATTTATCCTTAATACTTTTAACCATATGAACCTCCTAAAATGGTAAAAAAATTGACCACATGCCTCAAGTAACATAATTTATTTTGTAATAATCCTCTTAAACCTACAGCTCCAAGGATGCTTTTGTGCTACACATTTATTAGACTAGTGATGTTTAAGATTTCACAGGAGCTGAGCATTTCCACAAAAGAAGTAGATTCAGTCTGTATAACTTCTCAAACTGCCCTAAAATTACACCTAATATAATGTGAATATACCCAGTCAAAACCCAAAATGTCTGTTAGAGAGACCCCATTTCTACAAAGAGTAGCAGTTTATATTTCTAGTTTAAATCAAAACTCTAATTCCCAAAAGAGATTTAGTCTCATTACCTGCTTTCTACTCTCTTACCCAATTTAAAGGATTTTAATGTATTTCAGACTAGAATCTGTGTACATGTGGGAAGACATACACCCAGCAAATGCAAGAAACTAATAATACAATCTAAAATGTGCAAGATTCATTAAGAAGAAAATGGTAAAAGCTCAGCTTACAAAAGAAATGTTAATTACACCTCATATGCAGCCTCTAAATCTGATGCTATATGTTTCATAACATAAAAGAAAATATCTTAAGCTTGTATGCACCTTTCACAAGAAATCCAGCTACAGCCATGGGGTGCCTAGATTATAATGAGATCATTAGGTATTATGAGACCTCCAAGTCTTACATTTTGTGACAGTGGAAGGTTTGAATGTGCACCAAGTTTGTGCAAATTTGGTGCAAACCAAATTTGTCAGGGCACTCACTGGCAGAGAAATTACCCTGATTGCAGAGACTGAGAGGAGAGATGAACAGCTGGCAGAACCACAAGCACAAATAAAGTAATCACATATACACAGAGAAGAGTGTTTAGATTTGGCCCCCATAACTTAACCACATTGTAGCTCATTTATTAAAAATTAAAAAAAAAAAAATTAAAAAATCACCTCTGGATTTTCCTCCTTTTTCTTTTTGGTAGCAGGCAGTCCCTGAGCTGACTCTTCAGAAGATTTCTTTGTCTCCAGTTTACTTTCTGTCTGGGTTTGGACTTGAGGTTGAATAATGATAACCTAAAAGACAACGTACAAATAAGAGAATTCACTATATGAAACTGGATTTTTCTGCCTCAAACCTTTGAGTCCTCTTTCAAGGGTTACTTGATACCCTACAAGTAAGAAATGTAAGTCACAAGTCAAAAGCATAAAACAACAGGATACCTAGGTTAAGGTCCTAAATCCATACTTAAGTTTCTAAAAATTAATTCTTATTAGTGCATTATAAACCTGCTACAGCCTAAGTCTCTTAATGAGTCCCTCTGAAAGTTAGGACACTTTCTATTTAGAGGACTTGTGAAAGTGGCAGAGAAGCCATGCTTTAGCACTTGTGTTAGTGATCTTAAGGTCTTTCCTTTGAGTTTATTTTGTGTACAAGTAGAAGAGATGGGATTACTAAACTTCCAAGCTCAGTTTGATCTCAGTCATAGCAGTGTTTTTTCAGGGTTAGTACATGGGGATGGGAAAGAAGGTATTCCTCATGGAACTCAGATCAGACTTCAGTCCTCAGCCTTTACATGTTATAAATAGTGGATGTCCAGTTTTCCATAAACTAAATAAACAATATGTTTTTAAAATTAAATTTAGGCCTTCTTTAGAACCTACAGGAAGTACAACACAAATCTCATTAACACATTTATGGTAGCATATCCAGCTGCTTATATTTAAATTACCACATGAAGGTTTACATGATGTAGGTCACATTATCTAGAAACTATTAAATTAAAAGGAATGAATTTCTGCCCACAGAAGTACACATATGACTTCATATCTATAATCAAAAGGACTGTGGAAGCTTCAAAAGGACTTCCCAAGGACTATCACCTTCTAGATAAAGATTATTAGATTTGAACACCAGGCCTTTTCCATCTACTTAATTGCTAATTTTCAATCAATGTCATTTAAGTGTTAGATACATTATTTCAACTCAGTCACTCTAGAAGATTCAAGAGCATAAAAAGGGATGGTTTTTTTGAGGCAGCTGCCATTTTAAGTAAGAGAAAAATAATTTATGTCAAAGAAATGGGGAAGAGACATCTGCCTTTATTTATCTCAAAAGCCATCCTACATATTTTTTTAGCGCTGTATGAGAACTTGTGCTCCAACAAGACCGAAAGTAGGAGGATCCCAGTAGTAAATTACAGTGAATGTCTGCCTGATACATTAGCAGCCTGTATGGAATCTGACTCTGGTATAAGAGTGGTGAAGTTCTTGCATTCCAATGCAGAAAAGCAGTACAAAGCTGAAAGAAGTAATTCATAGCTTGAATTTTTTCTTTTTACTGATTCATCTCCTGGTCAATTCTGAAACCCTGAGCTCTCATTTCATTTGGTCTTCCTCTGAAAGAGCAGAAGGGAATCTCTGATTTTTTTATGTACTCCCTGGTGTCAGTCAACAAATTGAGTATCATTGTGTCACTGAAGAGGGAGTCCATAGGAAATGTGAGCCTGTATAGAATCCAGGGATTTTATTCATGAGGATTGGCTTAAGGAAAGAGAAGTTCATTTTAACAGAAGATCCTGCTAATATCAGTCTACATAATGAGGTGTTTTGTCCCCAGTAAAAAACAAGCTTGTACGCAGCTAAAAGCCCACTAGCTTCTCTGTGTCCATGTAAGAATTGTCCCGTTGCTTTCTGATTATTTTCTTTGAGAAGAGCCACTGACAGCACTCCCAGGGCAATATTTGCTGACAGCTGCAGCACAGCTGCTGTGTCTGCTGCCCAGGGAACTCACCTTGCTGTCGGCACTGATGAGGAGCGGCTGCACTTTGATGCTGTCGTTGACCACCGAGACAGCGGCGCTGGTGCTGATGGGAGCTGCATTGCTGGGGGACGTGGAGATGATGGCATAGGCCACCCCAGCACCACTCAGAGGGGACGACAGGGCTGCAGGCTCGGTGACACTTTGGGACGGGCTGCTGTGCGTCTGTCCATGGCTGACGGTGTTGTTGGCGGTGGGGAGGGCAGGGCTGGGGTTTTTGATGCTCACTATGGTTGCCTTCTGGAAGGTGGGAGGCTGCTTGGAAGGTTGGTCTCTGCACGGGGAGATTGGGAGGCTGTCTGGAATCAGGGTCTTTGGCCTAACCTACAAACAGAGAGCCAGGTGTTATTAGTGAACAAACACTGCACACCATGTGTTCTGCCAGTGGAATCTCCAATTGCATTCACCATGGACCAGGAGCATCTAGAAAAACAGAATGGAGCAACTGCAACTAGCCACCACTTATAGATATATTCCCAGCTCTTCTCAATTGGGTCATTTTGAAGTTCTTAACTCACTGCAATGCTAAACAATCAGAAGAGAAGAAAGTCAAATCCTTATTTTGATCAGTACACATCCATACAAATGCTAGTCAAGTCACATCCAGTTCTCTCAGCTCATACCTGCAGCACAGCTCCTGTGTTTGCTGCCCATGTGTAAGCCAAAGCCTTTGCAAAGAATGGAAAACCCAGATGCAAAAATTTCCTGTTCTGAAGGACACAACACTTTTGCTATGAATTAAGGAGAAGGAGCTGAATCTTTAAGGGAGTTGTGGGAAAGCATTTACAGGGACAGTAAAGTATATGCTTTTATGCTGCTGGGTTGGTCAATGAACATCCTCACATGTTTAAGACATGCCATGTCAAATGGAGAGGAGATCAGTCACACAATCACTTAACTCACAAAAAAATAAAGAAAAAAAGAGAGGCATACAAGAAACCCACAACCACCAAGCACCATATTTTGTTGCAGTAATTAAAGAGCTAACTTGCAGCTGTGGGTGGATGCAGGAGGAACTTCCATGAATGGAAGAGGACACTTTGCCCTGCTTTGCAACAGCTGGGGCTGTACCCAGAGCCATGAATGATAGCAGCAATCAATTGTTTTCAGCTAACGTGATGTGTTTCCAGTGGTGTAATTAACATTACCCAGTCAACGTGGCTCTGCCTTAACAACATGTTAAGTACAGTTCCAGGATTGAAAATAAATAATTTAAAATGCTTCACATGGAGTTAACTTCACTCCCAGCTAATTCGTTAACACAGCTGATAAAACAGTCAGTTCCCTCCGTGCTTATTTAGTCCTGTCACTTCCTGCACCTTCCATACTGTGAAACAAAATGACAAGCTCTAACAGACAAACACGGGAAACAGCTGCCTGTGTCACCACGCTGGAGTCTACAGGAGCCCTTCAAATCGTGCCAACTTCAATCTTCAGCCTATGTAAGCAATTTTAAAAAAATGCAGGGATTTACTGGTGTGCAGAAAACCATCTCTTAAGGTTGACCATCATCCCCTGTTGTGTCAAGAAGGAACCATACCCTTTTGTCCCCACAGCAAATATTAAGGGCAGCAACACACACATTGCCAACTCTCTGGGTCTCAGTAATTTGCCCCTCAAATATCAATAGGAGCCCTGTGGACACCCACAAGCCTCCTGGGGAAAGGCATCACAACAATAATGCCCTGGAGAGATGCATCTTAGGTTGGCGGCATTTCTCACAGCTCAGGGTGAGGAAAGAAGCCTCCCCCATGGTGCTCTGCAGCACTGTGTTAATTTATCCCAGTTCTGTCCTCCCCATTGGCCTTCCCTACCCCTTTTACCCTCATATGTTCATATTCTGGTAAGTTCTCCCTTCCCTGCTTTCCCATTGGTTTATGTAACCCCACCTATCCACCCTGGCATTCCCTATCCCCATGTTCTGCCCCTGAGCCCTCAGTTCATTGCATCCCTGATGCTCTTCTCCATCCCCTCTTTCCCGGTATTTATACCCTGGGCCCTCCTGTTTGTTTGTCTTTGTCCCCCTGGACCTCTTCAGCCTTGCCTGAAATAAAGGACGTTGGAACTGCATGCCTGGACCCTCCCGTGTCCTCACTGCTGAGCTGCTGCGTGTCTGTGTGTCTGTCTGTCTGTCTGTGTGTGCTGCTGCTCTCCTGGCTCCCACCCCTTGGCACAAGATGCTCTCAGGGAAGGTTGTGTCCACCATCACCATGGACTGCAACAGCGCCCTGAACCCCTGAGCAGCACAAAAGCAGCATCAGAGCCACAGTCGTGCGTGGGACAGTCACATTTCCAGCAGTCATGGTAGATGGAAAGGTAAAGAGGAGGTTTGCCCAAGGTCCTGCAGACTTGTGCAGAGCCAGGAAGCCACTGTGCTCAGCTTACAGCTTTGGGGTGGCACTGGGAAGCCACAGAGACCTGCTGTGAAATGATGGAAAACTACACAGAACTCCAACAAACCACAGTCAAAATGCCCTGACAGTAACTGAAGGGTTCTTTGCTCATTTTCTTTATGCAATGATTATCTGACTGGCTTAGTTAAGATACCAGACAAATACCTTGGTCAAGTAGTTTTAGGGAGGACTCTGTACTTAGCTTCATATCCATGATTAGTTAATGGTCTTATTTTCAAAAGTAGTGCACAAAGCATTGGTCTAAACCCATCAGTTCAGGAGTTTCTCTAACCAAAAACTGTCATGTAGTCTACCAGGATCAACTGTATCTGTCACTCTTAATTGCACTTCTATATTTAATCAAAAGTCTAATTAAAACTAAATGCCTACATATAGGCATTATAATATAGCTATATAATATCTTTTAATATGTAATTATAGCTATATAATACAGCTATATAATTTTCTACTGCATGATGCAATACCTCTGTGAATCCTACACACACTCATAATACACATCCTGCAAGTTATGTCTGAACACATCTTACTTTGCTGTAAAATAAGCTCTTCCTGCATAGATAACTAAGCAAACCTAATTTTCCAAAATACTAAATTCTTTATAAAGTGCTGCATACTGAAGTTATCTGATAGGACACACCAAACTGTTACATCACAGAGCATATGCTGGGCACTTTCTGCCACCATGTGATACAGAAGAGGGATAGCTGTTTTCATGGACTAAGCCTCTGAAAACTCCCTGCTAAGTTTACCTGACCTTGGGAGACCATATTTATTTGCAATTACAGAACAATAAAAAGGGCTGACTACAGAAACAAAAGTTTCAACTTTTAACTCCTGAGTTAAAGTTAAAATTATTTAAAGTGAAAATAACATTTATTTCAAGGACCTGCAAGTTTGAATCCAAACCAGAAAGCAAACGTAGAAGCCCCTTGTGCTCCAACACCTATGAACGTTCCCCTCAGAATATAAACAACAAGAATAAACATTTAATAAACGGCTACATGAAAGACCTTTGGCAGTGTCACCTAAAATCCCAAACTGCTACAGTTATTGGTGGAGATAAATGGTATCAACTAGGAAGGGAAAAAATAAGAAGGAAAAAGGCAGCATAAATTCCCTTCCCTCATGGCAAAACTGTAGCTTAAATTTGGAAGATGAAAGGAGGACAGTGGCACTAGCAAAAGTTTGGAAGTTGGCAATCACTGAAGAAGAGGTAGATTAAAACTAGGGCAGGACAGGGAGTGCACTGCACACAGTACCAAAAAGTAATTTCCTACTGAAAGTAGCACAGGTTGGATGACACCAGTTCCTGTCACAGGAGTTGCAGAAATAAAAGGCACCAAAGTTGAGCAAAAGAGAAGAAAAGTGAAAGAAAAATAAATAGCATGTATGTTACCAAAAGAACACTTCAACTCTTGGCAAGTGCTGCAAGTAACAATTCTCCTGTAGGCTCAACCCCTCTTTCCCCAAGTATCTTTCATTTAACTTCTGACAGCTGTCAAAACACAATGTGATACTAGCAGGGCTCGAAATGCAGCAGAGAGAGCTGCTTCTTGAATATAATGATTTCCTAAACCCATGTTGTTCTTGAGTTTCCTCCATACCCACACTAACAGAAACATTTCATTTCCTGTGGCAATGTTCAGGCTGCTACTCCTCAGATAGCTGCAGGTGAGCACATTTTTCAAGGAGATATTCTCAAATCCGAGCACTCACTAGGTGGCAGCTGTCTGCTTTTCAGACACAGAAATAAGAGAGCACCCAATCCTGTGAGATGTACAGAGCGCTCTTTTGTTCAACAACTTCTAATTTAATATATTTTAAAGAGCTTCAAATCAGGAAAGAATCAGCTCCTGTGAGCTGATTCTACTACATGACTTCTTGTATATCCCATATTATTAAGCTTCATCCAGATGTCCCTGTATGAAGCTCAAAAGGCTGGGTCTGGGTTCGGGTTCTGTTTGTTGTTAGAGCCAAAGCTGTTATTGTTGTTTGTTTGTTTGTTTTATTATACATACTAGTAAAGACCTGTTATTCCTATTCCCATATCTTTGCCTGGGAGCCCCTTGATTTCACGATTTTGATAATCCAGAGGGAGGGGGTTTACACTCTCCATTCCAAGGGAGGCTTTTTCTGCCTTCCCTAGCAGACACTTGTCTTGTAAACCAAGACAATCCCAACAGGTGAGCCACTCACCTGCTGTAGAAAAGAAAAATAAGTAAGAAAGAAAACCTCTTACAAAAGAAGTCCTCAAGATCCAACCTATAGAGGTATGGGGAAAAAGGAGAAGGGAGGAAAGTCACACAGTTCCTCCAATCTCTGTGGGCAATCCTATGTAGTCCTAAAGGACAGGATTTAATTAGAACAGTTACATCTGTGAAGATCTGCAGGTGATATGAGAATTGTTAAGGGCATTTCTGGCAAATGTGTTCTCCCTCAGGTCTAGGAAAGAAAGGAAGTTAACATGGAGTACTTCAATTACAAATCCAAAAGGGATCGCTGTGATCCTCCAGTTCATCGGCTGGACATATAATTTCTCCCAGAAACTGAAGACTGATTTCAAAAGAAAATACTAAAGACTTCTTAATGATGAGCTCCAGTAAATTGTTAATTTTGGTTTGGTTTTGGTTTTTTTTTTTTTTTTGTTTTTTTTTTTTTTTTTTTTTAAATGCTCGTGAGTGGCATTTTATAGCAAGGTTGAATTTTTCTAACTTCAGCTTCCAGTCCCTGGATCTTGTTCTAGCTTTGTCAGCAACACTGAAGAGCCCTCCCCTTCCCCTGTATCAGATATCAGCTGGATCATGCTCAGCATCCATCAGCCCTTCATACTAGCAGGGCCCATCTGTATGAAAGTAAGTTTTTCAGCTCAACACAATATCACATTGCCTTTGAGAGAAAGACCATTATTCA